AGCATTTGACATATCACATCGACATAAACTTGTAAAATTTGCCTTTGAACGACATCTATTGAGAAATCCGCACGAACTTTCCGGACAACCCAATACTAATTTAATCATTTTTACTTTAAAAATTTAATTATTTTAAATATTTTTCTATTCTATTAAATTTTAAAATTTTATTTATAAAAAAAATGTGTAATAAAAATTAAAATAGCAATTAGCCGGTATAAAACGGGCACGTTCGGTATACTAATCACCTTTTTTCGATTCCGCTTATGCAAGTGAAACGTCTCGCAAAACCTAGACCGCTCCTAGAAGAAGCCGATTATCAGAACGAAGGTAGAGAGCACTCTTCCTTCATCGAGAACTCTCGATCAGAATCGGTAAATCCGGCAATCCATCTAGCCACTTTATCCGACCGTGAAAACGAACCCGAGCGCACCCCGGTTCGACCGAGGGATCTCGGTAAAACGGTTCAGCAGCCGACCGCGTAATGCTTGTGCATCTTATCTCGAGGCAGAGAGGAGAGCTGCCTCGGAGTATCTCTCGTCGGCACAACGTTCTCGGAAACTTTCCAACAATACCGGGAATTTCATATTTCCATCGAAGACGCGTACGCCGAATAGACCAAGTAATTCGCGGAAACACGCACGAAAAGAAATACGCAAAAATACGGCTAGACCTACCGCCAGACACGCGCGCATAGAAAAACACGACGCACACTGTCAACGGTCATTCACCGCGCTCGGATGTAAACACGCGCGGCATACGAAGCATTGCACCGCATATACCGACGATAAATAGTACCGCATTTCTTATACCAAACCGCTGCATTTATATTACGCGTTACCGCCCAACATATAAATACATATATTTTAAATATTATTCGTGCGACTCAGCGCGACCACAAGTGCGATCAGCTAACGCAATCGTGCGTGCATTTGTATTTCGATCTTCGCGCAGCGAAACCTTCAACACGCATCGCGCCTCACGCAACACACACACACACACACACACAAACTGTAATCTATATAGAATAAAGTTTTTTTTGCACACGTACACGCTCTCGTTATCAGTAAAACCAACGAACGAATTCTGATCCCGATTCCGGCTATCCAACGGCGATTCACGCGGAATTCGCCCGTGACAAGACTAATAAGATTTACAAGTTGTAATAATAAGACAGTATGTACATATTATAACCTCTAGTATAATTGTAAAATCGGTAGTGCTTAAGTATATAAAAATATTGCGGATAGAATAATGTCTATATAGACTGATAATTTGCGTTGTTTTGTTTCTCTTTTTAATTATTTTATTTTATACTACGTTATAACAGTGTAAAACAGATCTCCGGAGTCTTTTCCTGCGCCTTTTTCTCTGGATAATATTACATAATACCGACCTGTAAAGATCTGCCTATGAATCATCTCGATAATAAAAATAACTACTTTATCGATCATAGAACAAGCATAATAAAATATTATCAAATCCTGAGAGATTCTTCTCGGAGATCACAGTGACATTCAAAAGATAAAATGAACTAGTTTATTGGTTTCTAAAAATTTTTGTAACTGAAATGGGCACTCAATAAACAACTTATAAGCACACACCAGTTCTCGTCCGATCACTGAAGTTAAGCAACGTTGGGCATGGTCAGTACTTAGATGGATGTCTGCTTGGGAACACCATGTACTGTTGGCACCATTTCTTCTTTTTGCTAATTTAAATATTGTCAATATTGATATAATTTTTTTACTTCAACCACTATACTAAATTATTTTCTTATAATGTAATAACTATTGAGCCAATAGATTATATGTACATTTTGTGATAAATGATAATAATATAATATAAATATAAATGATAAATAATTGCATTGCAATTATAATAATGTAAATATAATAATATAAATATAAATGATAAATAACTGCATTACAATTTGTACTTTTAATAACACAGCTGATATGCCATCTGAATAAACAATCTTACCATATTATTTTACAAATACAATAGCATTAACAAAAAAATACAAATACCTTAATAACAAAAAAGGTTCTTCAAGTTTAGATGATATATCAAACATCGTTTTGAAACATATTCCAGCTAAAATCATATATAACTATACAATTCTTTTTAATAATATGATTAATCACTCATATTTTCCACAAAAATGAAAAAAGCTAAGGTAATTCCATTATCTAAAAAAAGACAAAGATAAAACTCTTCTTGTAAATTATAGACCTATTAGTTTACTCCCGAATATAAGCAAAGTCTTTGAAATGATCATAAATGATATTATTAATATATATAGCAAAGAAAATAATATATTACCAGAAAATTAATTTGGCTTCCGTGCGAGACATTCCACAATTCATGCAATTAACAAACTAACATCTGATATAAATTAGGCATTGATTAACGATGACTGTCTCGGTGCTTACCTAGTGGATTTAGAAAAAATTTTCGACACAGTCTGGCAAAAAGGCTTAATCTTTAAACTAAAAAGAAAAAACTTTCTAATTATTCTTGTCAAACTCATATGGAATATAATTAAAGATAGATCATTTATGATAAACTACTTCAATATGACATCGCAAAAAACATATACTTTATCCAATGGTTTACAATAAGATACAATAAACTCACCAATATTGTTTAATATATATACAGCTGATCTCCGACTCATCTGCCCTGACAATACTACATGTTCACCCCTATTAAGTTAGCCCCCCTACCAGCAAAATAAGTTGTAATCTATCTTAAAATTAAGTGCTAATTAGATGATAATTAGGTGCCAAAGTAAAAAATTAGGTGCTCATACCGTTTAGCAGAAAATTAAATTCACAATGGGTGGGGCTGACTTAATATTAAGTTAGCAAAGTGTTTGCCATATTAAAAAATATGTAAATAATAAAATTATAAAAAAAAACGTAATAATTAGATGTTAATTAGGTGCTCTCAGAAACTGTTAAGATATTTTTAAAATATATTCTTTTTATATTACTTTATTCTTGTACCGAGTATACCCGTGACCGATATTTAAGTCCGCATATCAAACCGAACGAGCATCTAATTCGGCGTTAAGATATCCTAACATAATATTATATAACGAATATTTTTATACCAATAACTTTCGAGCATCTAATTTTTTAACAGGACTTTACTCTTGGTCCGACCATATATCCGTGACCGACATTTAAATACAAATATCTATCAAACGAAACGGGGACCTAATTCGATGTTTAAGTATTTTAATATATTATTGATTACCGAGTGTGTTTATATTATTAATTTTTGAATTAATTAATATATATAATGTCTATATGATTTATACATACAGGGTGAGCCATTTTAATCTATAATTGCAAATTTCTCCAAAACTACGCCACATACAAAAAAATGATTGGTATGAAAATTGTACAGGATGAAGGGGGACATCTGACTGTGCCAATAACTTTGACCTTGAGATCAATTTTCAAGGTCCTTTGAAGGTCAAGGTTATTTTTTTCAATTAGAACCCCTATTTTTGATAATGGATTTGGAAAGATCGTAAAATTTTACGTTAGAAGTTATAACGGTCGTATTTTCGGACGTTTTCTTTCGCAGCGCGGATGGATCGCCGGTGCAAGGTTCTTTGAATGAAAATACGCGGTGTTCAATTTAATGATGTTTATTTGAATTATGTGTAGATAAGTACAGAATAGGTGTGTGTGTATATGTGTACGAATGTGTGAGTATAAATGTTCGTGTATAATGTCTGTGTTGTTCGAGTAATTACGCCAAAATAAAAGCTGATTTAATTTCGGTCTGATTTCGAACGCCGGCGGGTGTTTACGAAAGCGCGAGACGGCGCGCGTTTTTGCGGTGCTTTTTCTCGCGGAGATTCCGGTATTCCGAGAATTCTTCGGTTCTCGGAATCGACGGGTGTTTTCGTCGTACTATTTATTTCTAGGCGCCGCGATTTAAAGTCCGCGTTCGTACGATTATAATTTATCTGCTTTAATTTGGCGGCGTTTACACGATTATTTCTGGATGTCGATATGCGCTCGCTTATTTACAAAAGACGCGTTTAAGCGCGGCGGCGGATGACGTGATTATGAGGTGCGCAGAGCGCTTAAAACGACGGTTTCGGTGATAATATAAAAAGTACGCGTGCGGCGGAGGTTTGCACGTGCGGTAAAGGATTCTTTCGCGAAGGATAGGTTGCGCGATGCAGCTGGATCGAGATCACTCGATCTGGGGCGGCTCAGAGCTCCACCTTCCGTGAGAATTTCAGCTGTGGATCAGGCGGATTGTACTTGTGCGTCAGAACCGAGATCACTCTGAGACGGAGCTGGCTCCACCTTTTGTCTTCGGCTACTTTGTGCTTCGAGAGGATTTTCAGGATTGCTTCTGAATGCTTAGAGCGGATCAGGAAAAATGTAATTGGAGCTAAGATGTGGCCCTTTTTATACGGACTAATTGCCTGCGTCGGCGCGCGGCGGTATAACCCCTTCCGAACGGGTTTTCGGAAAATGGTCGGGCCCGTTCGGAGGGATTCGGGTAGGAGCCGAACGCGGGTTTTCGCCGGCGGCGGTTCGGGCCACATCGGCTCTATTCGGCGGTGTTCGTCGAATTTTGATTCGAACAGTTTTCCAAAGTATTAAAAAAGATAGGCGCACCGCGCCCCTGCCTCTGCCCGGCGGGTGTTCTGCCGGGCGGCAGCTTCCGGCGGATATTATGCCGGGAATCGTAACGATGCACCGGAATGCATCGTTACATCACTCCCCCTTCTAAAATAATGCCCGAATTGGGGGTATTCGGTCGGTTGGTTCATCGGGCATAATTGCGTGGATGTTCGGCGGATTTTCGCTGGTTTTCCGCGGCGGTTACTGCGGCAGTCGACGGCAGTATCGGACTCTGCCATCCCTTGTAAACCGGATAATCCAGCGTCCGGTAGCGGTTCTCGGCTTGTACCTTCTCGACATGTAAACCGCGAAGTGTGGAACCTCCACGATGACTCCAGGCTAAACTTCCACGGGAATCGGTGGCGGTCCCAGCAAGGTCGGTCGTTCGGTGGTGACGGCCTCGGGTTTCAATGGCCGGGGTGGCCGTTCGTAAGGGCGTGGTGCCCTCGCCTTAGGTGGTGGTGTCAGGAAGGCCTCTTGTTTACGGCGATTGGTTTGGTCGGACCGCTGTATGACGGTCCCGACCTTCGGTGGCCGCGCTGGTGTTGGTGTGGCGGTGTCTGATGGTGCCGGCTCCGTCACCTGGGTCGGGTCGGCGATGCCTGCCTCGTATTCTCGAAGCAGGGCCTCAATGTCTTCCAGGATCTCTCTATTTGTCGCTTCCATTTCGCTCGATGGTTCGCTCGATTCTTTTATCGTCGCTATCTCTGGCTCGAGGTCGTTGTCATCCTCGAGAGGAATAAAGTTGTTATTGTTTTTATTGACATGAGCGGCCTTCAGATCTTGTACGTGTACATGTCTTATCCATTTCCCCCGCTTGCTTCGTAGATCCACTATAATGAGTGATATTATTCGACGGATCTCGTATGGCCCGGTGAATTTGGGCGCCAGTTTGACGTTGTATGCTTCGCTTTTCTTTGACAGAGGGTGGTCGCGCTTCCATACCCAATCTCCGATATTCGGCTTCCATGCTCGGCGACGGAGATCATAATGTTGTTTCTGGCGCTGAAACGCCTGGGCCAGCTATATTTTGACCAACTCGCCTCCATGAGCTTTTGGTGGAGGTTATCCGGGGCGTTGTGCTCCGCGGTCGGCTGGTCGGTGTCTTCTGGTCCTCGTAGCTCGCGACCGTGATTCAGGAAGGCGGGCATGTATCCGGTGGCGTCGTGGAGGGCCGTATTGAAGGCGAACTGGAACGCCGGAATGTGTTCGTCCCAGGCCCGGTGGTCTTTCTCCACATACTGGGTGACCATGGTTTTAATGGTCCTGTTGGTTCTCTCCACCGGATTACAATGTGGAGAGTAAGCTGGAGCGGTAACGTGGCGGATGTTCCACGCTCGTAGGCGTTCTTCCATTTTTCTGGACCTTAGCTGGGTGCCGTTGTCCGACAGCACGGAGTCCGGTCGTCCGTGGCGCAGAATTATGCGCTCGGTTAGAGCTTTGGTGACGGCGCTCGCTGTCGCTTGACGCAGGGGTACAAGCTCCACCCACTTCGTGAAGCGATCTTGCATCACGAAGAGCCATGCCCCTGATGAGAGCGTGGCAGTGGTCCAACTAGGTCGAGCGTTACCTGCTCCCACGGTCGGCTGACGTAGGTAGCGTGGAGTATTCCTGCCGGCCGCTGCTGTACGACAATTGTGCGACAATTTCTGCAGGTTCGCACGTAGTTCGCGATGTCGCGGAACATCCGGCCAATAATAGAATTCGGCAATCCGGGCGATCGTTTTGGCGATGCCCATGTGCTTGGCGGTGGGGGCGTCGTGGTATCGGCGTAGTATTTCATTTATGGCCTCCTTAAGTATGCATAGCTTCCACTGTTCTTCCGCGGCGGTGTCCTTGAAATTGAGGCTGTGGTAGAGGAGGCGTTATAACTTTCCGTCCTCTATTCGGTAGTCGGCGTATGCGATAGGGTCTTGCTGCACCCCTTCGTATTTCCGGCGGTACCAAGCGCATCCCTGGCGTTTCGCGGCGCAGGTCGCCGAGTGGCGTGATAGCGCGTCCGCGACGCGATTGAGTACCCTGCGGCTGTATTTCACATCAAAGTCATATTGCTGGAGCTCGAATATCCAGCGTCCGAGGCGTTCGATCGGAAACTCTATTTTCTGTAGCCAACGCAGGGCCAGGTGGTCTGTCACGACGGTGAAGGCGTACCCTTCTAGGTAGCTCTTTCGCCGGATGCCCCACACGATAGCTAGGCATTTGAGCTCCGTGGCGCTATAGTTGCGCTCGGCTGCGTTTAGAGTACGGCTCGCATAGGCGATGACGCGTTCGCCCTCCTCGAAGTTTTGTGTTAACACCGCGCCGAGTCCGGTCGTGCTAGCGTCGGTTTGGAGGAAGAAACGGCACGTGAAATCGGGGCAAGCTAAAACCGGCGCAGAACTCAAAGCGCGTTTAAGTTGAGGGAACGCGGTGGCCTCTCCTTCGCCCCATTTCCATCGGGCGTTTTTCTTCGTCAATTGCGTAAGCGGGGCCGCGATCATGGAGAAAGCCGGGATGAAACGGCGGTACCATGACGCCATCCCCACGAACTGCCGTATTTACTTGACGGATTGCGGTTCTGGCCAGTTGGTCACATCTTGAATTTTCCCGAGGTCGGTCCAAATTCCCTCCCGGTCAATTACGTGACCCAGGTACGTCAACCGGTCAACGCAGAATCGGCACTTCTCCGGGTTCAGACGGAAGCGCGCGTCACGAAGGCGGCGGAAAGTCTCCCTCAGCAGCTCGAGATGGTGGTCGAACGTTCGGCTAATGGCGATTATATCATCGAGATAAACGAACACGTGCGGTTCTAATTCAGGTCCGAGAACTGTGTCCAGTAATCGTTGGAACGTGGCCGGAGCGGAGTGCAACCCGAACGGCATGACTTTGAACTGGTAAAGCCCCTTCCTCGGTATTGTAAACGCGGTGATCGGCCGGCTGCTTGGGGTCAAAGGTACTTGCCAGTAACCGTTCTTCAGGTCTAAGGTGGACAAATACCGGCCCCCCCGCAATTTGTCGAGAGTCGCGGTCTGTGGCAGCGGATACGCGTCTTTATGTGTCATTTCGTTGACTCGGCGGAAGTCAATGCAGAAGCGTTGACGACCGTCCTTTTTCTTGATGATGGGCAAGCTCCAAGGACTGTGCGAGAGTTCGATGACGCCCTGGGCGAGCATCTCCTTCATCTCGGCGTCGATAATCGCCTCCATCGCCGGATTGCGCAGGCGGTATCTTTGTTTAATCGGCGTGTCGTTAATGAGCCGAATGGAATGCTGGGCCCGATCGGTGGGCCCCTTTACGTTATCGAATTTCGCGAGTTCATCTCGCAGGAACTCTTGGAGCCGCTCATTCTCTTCGGCGGTCCTGCCGGCCAGGCCTTCGACGGTGCAGCAACGCTGGTACCATCGGAGCACACGCAGCGGCGGAGCCGGCGTGCTTATTCGCAATTTCGCCTGCAAATCTATTCCCATTAATATCTCGCTCGAGAGGCCTGTCAATATCCCGAACGTGTGTGTCGTGGTTCGGCCGGCCGTCTCAACCGGCAGGTTCATTTTCCCCGCGAGTTCCGTGCCTCGATCGTCTGCCAATTGTATTTGGCTTTCCCCATGAATCCACGCGAAACCCGTACGTTTCAATGTTTCGGCAGTTCTCTCATTTATTAGTGAAATCTCGGACTCCCCATCTATCAGGGCATCGAAAATAAACTCCCCGATGCGAATCGGGGTGTGTGGCCGCGGCTTGAAAGTTATTCGGGGCTGGGAGTCACAGCGGCGACCTTTTCCCCAGCCCCGTCGACTTTTCCCGCCGGTGGATGACACTGCGCGGTGAGCATCCCGTCTCGTCCGCACTGCGAGCAGAACTTTTTCGCGGGGCGTCGGCACTGCCGGCGCGTGTGCTCGCACTGTTTGCACCGCCAGCAGCACTCGGCTTTATTATAGGCAGCCTCCACGGCGGGTTTCGTTTCGGCCTTTCACCTCTTGAGTGCCTCCTGCCGTTCGTTTACCAGGTCCTCGTGCTCGCGAGCGCGTGCTTGGAGCTCGGAAATATCGCCAATATCTCGGCGTCGGATATAAAATTTGTATTCCGGATGCATGTGGTCGTACAAATACTCGAACTGCATAACGGGTGAGAATCCGCTGGCCCGGCGCATAAGCGTTATCATCACCGTAGAGTATTGCGCGAATGTCTCGTTAGCCTTCTGGTGACGATTTTCGATTTCGCGGCGGAGGGAGGCGTCGTACCGATGGGGCAGAAATTGCAATCGAAATGCCGCTTCGAATCCCTGCCAAGAGGTCCAGCTGGTCCGGTGATTCCAGTACCACAAAAGGGCGTCTCCCCTCAATAACTCCGATAATCCGCGCAGTAGTTGTTCCTCAACGATGTGGTAATTTTCGCGGAATTCGGCAAGCCGTTCCAGGAAGGCGGCGGGGTCGCGCCCATTGAAATGATAACCACTCTTACGGAGTTGATTTATTGCACGATAATCTGGCAGCGCGGAGGTCGCGAAATCTACGGGCGCGTCGCGACTCAAAGGCGAGGACCCCGTGATAATCACTTGCGGTAATGCACCGGAAGGACCCGCTTGTTCGCGCGGATCGGTCGCGAATTTGTCCGTATGGGTGTCCGCGTATTCCCGCATGCGTCGGTGGATGTCGTCGAGAGTGCCAGTGCTCTCCAACCCCTCCGCTAGCACGGCTAATTGCTCTTTCGGGAGTGCGTCTAGCCACGACTTCATAATGCACGCTCACACCTCACGGTAAAAGAAACGAGAAGAAAAGAGAGAAAAAAGAAAAAGAAAAACATCCCTGTTCGGGCGTCAATGTAACGGTCGTATTTTCGGACGTTTTCTTTCGCAGCGCGGATAAATCGCCGGTGCAAGGTTCTTTGAATGAAAATACGCGGTGTTCAATTTAATGATGTTTATTTGAATTATGTGTAGATAAGTACAGAATAGGTGTGTGTGTATATGTGTACGAATGTGTGAGCGTGTGTGTGAGTATAAATGTTCGTGTATAATGTCTGTGTTGTTCGAGTAATTACGCCAAAATAAAAGTTGATTTAATTTCGGTCTGATTTCGAACGCCGGCGGGTGTTTACGAAAGCGCGAGACGGCGCGCGTTTTTGCGGTGCTTTTTCTCGCGGAGATTCCGGTATTCCGAGAATTCTTCGGTTCTCGGAATCGACGGGTGTTTTCGTCGTACTATTTATTTCTAGGCGCCGCGATTTAAAGTCCGCGTTCGTACGATTATAATCTATGCGCTTTAATTTGGCGGCGTTTACACGATTATTTCTGGATGTCGATATGCGCTCGCTTATTTACAAAAGACGCGTTTAGACGCGGCGGCGGATGACGTGATTATGAGGTGCGCAGAGCGCTTAAAACGACGGTTTCGGCGATAATACAAAAAGTACGCGTGCGGCGGAAGTTTGCACATGCGATAAAGGATTCTTTCGCGAAGGATGGGTTGCGCGATGCAGCTGGATCGAGGTCACTCGATCTGGGGCAGCTCAGAGCTCTACCTTCCGTGAGAGTTTCAACTGCGGATCAGGCGGATTGCACTTGTGCGTCAGAACCGAGATCACTCGTCTGAGACGGAGCTCGCTCCACCTTTTGTCTTCGGCTACTTTGTGCTTCGAGAGGATTTTCAGGATTGCTTCTGAAGTGTACTGCTTAGAGCGGATCAGGAAAAATGTAATTAGAGCTAAAATGTGGCTCTTTTTATACAGGCTAATTGCTCGCATCGGCGCACGGCGGTATAACTCCTTCCGAACGGGTTTTCGGAAAACGGTCGGGCCCGTTCGGAGGGATTCGGGTAGGAGCCGAACACGGGTTTTCGCCGGCGGCGGTTCGGGCCACATCGGCTCTATTCGGCGGTGTTCGTCGAATTTTGATTCGAACAGTTTTCCAAAGTATTAAAAAAGATGGGCGCACCGCGTCCCTGCCTCTGCTCGGCGGGTATTCTGCCGGGCGGCAGCTTCCGGCGGATGTTATGCCGGGAATCGTAACGATGCACCGGAATGCATCGTTACAAAGTGATATTTGAAAAAAAAATCGAAGCTCAAGAATGTTAAAATCAAGGTCAATGATTAATTATTAACAATGACGTGGGCGTAGTAAGTTCTGTTTCCTTCGGGATGCTTTATTTTTGTGAGTCCCCTTGCCTCTCACATCTGGGATGCTTTATTTTGGTGAGTCCCCTTGCCTCTCACATCTGGGGTGCTTTATTTTTGTGAGTCCCCTTGCCTCTCACATCTGGAGTGCTTTATTTTTGTTAATCCCCTTGCCACTCACCAGTATTTTATCAATCACCCACGGAGTAGCTGTTCGAAATTGCCTCCGTTTGCTCCAAGGCACAAATTTAAACGTCGCTCAAAATTTCTCACTGTTGAAAGCAAAGTGTTTCTAGGGATAGCTGCGCAGGCTCTTCGAATGCGTTCCATCATATCATCCTTTGTTGTAGTCCGTTGAGCAAAAACAACATTTTTTAAGTATCCCCACAAATAAAAGTCTGGCGGATTACGTCCACGTCGTTGTTTCCGGGTAACGCTAAAAGTAAGAGTAAAGAAAACCAAAAAATTAATAATTAATTATTGATCTTGATTTTGACCTTCTTAAGCTCAGATTTTTTTTTCAAATATCACTTCTAACGTAAAATTTTACACTCTTTTCAAATTCGGTGTCAAAAATAGGGGTTCTAATTTTAAAAAATGACCTTGACCTTTAAATGACCTTAAAAATTGATTTCAAGATCAAAGTTATTGGCACAGTCAGATGTCCCCCTTCATCCTCTACAATTTTCATGTCAATCATTTTTTTGTATCTGGCGTATTTTTGGAGAAATTTGCAATTATAGATTAAAATGGCTCACCCTGTATATATATATATATACAGGGTATATATATATATATATATATATATATACAGGGTATATATATATATATATATACAGGGTGGCCCATTTTAATTTCCCCAGCCAAATATTTCGGAAAATAATGAAAAATCAAAAAAATGTTTCAGACAAAAGTTGTATGGCTTGAAGGGGGCCATTAGATAGGCAATGATTTGATCTTGGAGAGTCATTTGAAGATGACGTAAAGGTAACCTTCAATTTCTTAAATGGAACTCCCTTCAAGCCATACAACTTTTGTCTGAATCATTTTTTTGATTTTTCATTATTTTCTGAAATATTTGGCTCGGGAAATTAAAATGGGCCACCCTGTATATACAGGGTGAACCACCTAATTTTACCACCTTAAATAACTGTTGAATTAAGTATTGTATGTAAAATGTTTTCATACAAAAGTTGCATGATATCAAGGGGGACACATGATGTATTAATCGCTTTTGTGCTATCTTGCTTTTTTACGGAGATATCAAGGTCATCTTCAACTTCTTAAATGGAATACCCAACTTTTTATTTTATCGTTCGAAACAGAATCGACTTCTGAGTAAAAAAGTATTAACATACATATGGTCTATAGCCAACATTTATTAAGCTATTAATGAACAAAGTTTTAATGTTTCAGATACTTTAAAGAATGA